GGAAGCCTCTAAACAGGTATACACTTGCAGCCATTATTCGACTATGCTGATGTTGCGCTTGGGGGGAAGTCTCAGAGGGGTGTTGCAAAGAGTAACACCGCCTACAGAACCGTGCATCTCGAATTATATTACGGAAGAATACCTCAAATGACACTTTCTGTGTGCTAAACTGGTTAAATCTAGCCTCCAGAAGAAGTGTTTAAATAATCTAGTACCCAAGTATCTTACGCAATATATTTTACAAGGAATGCGGATTTGCACAATCGTGCAACCAGGAGAAGCAACGACTTGCACCCACCCAAGCCAAAACGTAACACGGGCAAAAGAACTGTTAAGTATGCAGGGGCTATTTATTTCAATTCTTTACTCAATTATGTTAAAAGTGCCACGTTCGTAAATAGCTTTAAAAAAATGCTGTCCGAGTATTTTACCTTATAATTTTAATTTCTTATCTCTTAGCACAGACTTTTTATATTGACCTAGCTAGATTTTTTACAATATTATTGTTTATTTTAATCATAGTATATACCTTAGGAATTTTTAAATAGTATACTGTTTATTTCTCAGGGCACCTATGGATACCAGCCTCGTTGCTGAACGGGCTATCCTGATTAAATCAAGTTACTTACTCACTCACTCTGAATGAATGAATGAATGAATGAATGAATGAATGAATGAATGAATGAATGAATGAATGAATGAATGAATGAATGAATGAATGAATCTAGGCTGCAGAGAAAAAAAAAAAGAAAGAAAATTGGTTTAAAAGTGTTCGGAAAACAATTCAAGAGGCTTTCACGCGCGTCGATAATTTAAGACCTCTAAAACGATTGAAACTGAAACGCCACCGGACTGCATATATGCATTTCCCGACCCCCTTTCCCGGTAAACACTTGAACTAAGCACGAAAGTTGTCATACCAACGTCACGGTGGGGCCAAACCACCCCCAAATGGCTTATCAAAACGTGACAATTTCGAATAATTTAAAATAACTTTGCTTGCTTTCACTCTTTCCCAACCAAACTTGGCCTGAAAATACGAAACATCAGGCCAATCAAAATCGCTCATAGGATGACACCAAATGTCAAATTATGACGTCATATTTGCTGACGTCATTCATACGTAAATTTTAAACTTTTTAATCTCCCAATTTTTTATATCGTTTTTGAAAGAACTATTCAAGGGGAGTTGAAAGCTGAAAAAATTTTTCAGTATCTCAGATATGAGCTGAGATATGACACTTTGAATTTGGATAAATTCGGAGCACAAAAACGGGGTACCCCCCCCCCCCTTGTAAAATAAGTCTTAATTTCAGAGTTTTATTCTCCAGTCACCCTTGCTGTTTAAGTTACACATAACACATCTTTACTGTCGAAAGCTAAAGGAAAAAGAAAAATTTGAAAAAAGAAATTCCTAACTACGCAAAAACCCGGAAAACAGTTTTGTGACGTCATTAAATGTCACTGATCAATTTTTTGGTTTGCTCAAATTAGTGTTTTTGAGTCTAAAAACAAAAATCTAAAATGATACGATTTTTGCTAACTATAAAAGACATGTGTCAGCGGAAAATCAGCTTATTTTGCCAAAAACTGTGAAAAAAATATCAGAGGGATCGTTTTTTAAGGAAAAGTATGGTTCCGGGGGGTGAAATCAAATTTCTTTGAGGTCTTATAACTCGGGTTTTACGTGTCGTAGCCAGAAACGGTTTTCCCTGTTTTACTCCTCTTCTAAAGCCCTTTCAAATGATATAAGTTTGACTTTGAAATTATAGACTGCATTTAACCCATTTGGTGACGTCAGCCTTTGTGGCGTCACAATTTAACATTTTGAGTCAAACAAAAACTTAACATCATTTGGTCAACAATCGTAGTCTATCTGGCAAGTTTGGTCGAGAAATGAAAAGAAATGTAAAAAATACGTACATTTAGCCTTAATAAGCCCTTTGCGGGGTGCTTTGGCCCCGCTGTGACTATAATATCCTTGAACAATACAGAGAAAATCTTCAGGCTTAAACATCTGTCATGTTTTTTATTATTTTTGCTTTCTTTCTTTCTGTTGGCTCGTAAAATTCGCCTTCGGTAATATGGTCGCTGCATGACGACAGAATTAAGTTATGCTTCAATCTACCTACAAAATGGCAGAGCAGCCGTTGAAATTAGAGCTATGGTATTGAACCAGGAGCCATCAATGATTAAACTGAAGTGAGCACCTGTACTGACCGAAATTGTCAGAAAAGAATTTGGGCTAACCTTTTGCTGATGAGGTAAATGTAACGTTCATCATATACGTCGGGTATTTTGATTCATACAATTTTGTTAATTACGTTAATATATTAATTCATTAGGGTTCGTTATGATCTTAATTAATTTTCTTGTTAAACTGTTAAATTCACATTTTAGCATCGTAAGGGAATTACCGAATGAAGTTAAATAGGTACATGTTAGATAATTAATTAGTTGAAATATTTTGTAGCAAATATATATTAACCGAAGACTCGTC